TGAGATGCACCGGAGGGGGGCATACTCACCAGCCTGTAACATATCCCTATCCCTATGATTGGCATCGCCTCATCTCGATGCCGATCTTAGGGATTCCCTCCGTTTCTGAGGGCGCATCCCTAAGATTGTCGTCGACTTTTGGCTTGTTAATCTTAGGGATAGGGATACGTTCGAGGCTGGTTACACGCCGTTTCGCTTCTCGGGTAGGCGCACGCACGAGAGCGTGCTGCAGGTGGGGGTTGGACGGACTTGACTGCCGCAGCGGCTCCGAGCCACCCGCCCCTCATGGTCTCGGCTTGAGCCGCTCGATCCGGCTCGAGGCCGATCGGCTCGGGCTCGTGTGGAAGGCCGTCGGGTCTGGCGTCGGGCTGATCGTCGGGCTTGGCGTCGGGAAGGTCATGGGACGGGGCGTCGGGAAGGGCGTGGGGCTGGGCGTCGGGAAGGGCGTGGGGCTGGGCGTCGGGAAGGGCGTGGGGCTGGGCGTCGGGAAGGGCGTGGGGCGGGGCGTGGGTCCTGGCGCCTGCGCGAAACGACAGCCGCGCCAGGAGGGGCGTGCACACACAACACACAACACACAACACGCACACACACAACACACAGAACACACAACACACACAACACACACAACACACAACACACACACACACGCCACACACAACAAACAATGCACACAGACACAACACACACAACACACACGCACACACGCACACGCACACGCACACGCACACGCACACGCACACGCACACGCACACGCACACGCACACGCACACGCACACGCACACGCACACGCACACACGCACACGCACACGCACACCCGCACACGCACACCCGCACGCGCACGCGCACGCGCACGCGCACGCGCACGCGCACGCGCACGCGCACGCGCACGCGCACGCGCACGCGCACGCGCACGCGCACGCGCACGCGCACGCGCACGCGCACGCGCACGCGCACGCGCACGCGCACGCGCACGCGCACACGCACACGCGCACACGCAACGCACGCGCACACGCGCACACGCACGCACGCGCACGCGCACGCGCACGCACGCGCACGCGCACGCGCACGCGCACGCGCACGCGCACGCGCACGCGCACGCGCACGCGCACGCGCACGCGCACGCGCACGCGCACGCGCACGCGCACGCGCACGCGCACGCGCACGCGCACGCGCACGCGCACGCGCACGCGCACGCGCACGCGCACGCACGCGCACGCACACGCGCACGCGCACGCGCACGCGCACGCGCACGCGCACGCGCACACACACACGCACACGCGCACGCGCACGCGCACGCGCACGCGCACGCGCACGCACACACACACACACACACACACGCACACACACGCACACACACGCACACACACCTCGGACCAGCGGGGAGGGAGGGCCCTCCCCCCTCCTCCTCGGCGCACCCGAGGAGGCACGGCGCCCTCCTTTCCGGGTTCGCCCCCCTCTTCGGGTTCGCCCCCCCTCTCTGGGTTCGCCCCCCTCTTCGGCGCACCAGGGAAAGCACGCCGCCCTCCTCCCCGGGCTCGCCCCCCGCACCGCCGATCCCCCGTCGTTGCCCCGCTCCCCTCCTGAGCCGGTCCCCCCATTGCGTTCGCCGCAAACCACCTTGCCAGGTGCCATCTCGATCCATCCCATGCGGTTCGATATCGCTTTTGGCCAGCCCGATACGATTCGACGTCGATGTTACGACGACCCGACACGACCCGATGCTCGCGTGGCACTGTTGGGCGTCCTGGCGCAAACGATCCGATTCCGACTCCGTGGGGGGAAAGGGTGGTTTGCAGGGGGGCGTGATGTCTCAGATGCGGCGCGAGCGCGCCTATCTTGCGTCTCTCGGTTCGTTTCCTCCTCATCCTCCCTCTCGCCTCGCTCTTCCCCTCCCCCTCCCCCGCCGCCTCCTCCTGCTCCTCCTCCTCAGCCTCCTCCAGTTAGTAGGTTGGCTCACGCTGCGCCTAGCTGGGTCGGCCCTGCGTCCCGCGGTGTCGCCGATGTCGCCGACGACGGTCGCCCGCGCTGCCGCGCCCCTGGACGCCGTGCGTGGCGCGGCCCTGGCGGTGCCTGCGGCTGCAGGGCTTGCCAGCAGCGCCGAGCTCCGCGAGGTGGCTCGGCTCAGCCACGCGCGGAGGGGGGTGAGGGGAGGGGGGGGGGGCTTCTTGGAAGCACCCCTGCTTCTTAAAAGGCGCGGGCCTCATCTATAAATGCAAGGCCGGCGCCTTCCAAGAAACAGCCTCTTCCTAAGCGGCCCCACCCCCTCCCTCCCCCCCCCTGTGCGCGCCGCCAATCGGCTCGCGCGTGCTGCCGAGGGGCTTCTCAGGGTGGCGGTGGCCAGGCCGGCCAGTCCCACCCCTCCCGCGCCAGCCTCGGCGCCCTCGGCGCAGGCCGCGGCTGCCCCTTGGCGGCGGCGTCGGCCTCGCGGCCGCGGTGGCTCGGCGCGCATGGCGCTGGACGGAGAGCATGCCGTCGCAACTGGTGGGGCCGGTGACGGTGGGGATCGTCGAAGGGCACCAACTATACACCAACACCGATCCTGGCCCAGGATCACCCTGGGCCCACGATCGGTGTATATGCTTTCTTGCGCAAGGCAGGAGGGCGTATACACCGATCCTGGGCCCAGGGTGATCCTGGGCCAGGATCGGTGTTGGTGTATAATTGGTGCCTTCCTAGGAGAGGCGGGGACTGGAGTTTCGGTGGCTACTACAGGCACCTCGCCGATGCTGGAAGACGAGAGCTGGGCCGGCACGCTGCCGATCGTGCGTAGCGGCCGCCCGCCCGCCGGCACAGCTGCAAGCAGGGGCAAGGGCAAGAACACGGGCAGGGGCGGCACCGCCGCCAGTCTGGCCGCGAGCGTGGGGCTGCCCAGCGTGGTGCTCGAGCAGGCGGCGCTGCCTGCGGCAGCGGCGGCCGCGGCATTCCCTACTCGTGACTCGCCTGGGGCAAGGCTCGGCGGCGAGGGGGGGGTGCCGAAGCCCTGCGCGGCGCTCGTGACGGCGACGGAGCGCGCAGGACCGACAGGCGCGGGGCGCGGCAGTTCGGCCTGCTGCGCGGCGACCCCGAGCCCGAGGGCGGCATGATCCTCGCCCTGTGCGGCCAGGGGCGCATGGAGGCCGCGGCCCAGGTCGCGTTCGACGACATGGAGCTCGCGAGGCCGTTCGGCCAGGTCGCGCCGCTCCCCTGAGGAAGGGCCTGGCGGGCGCGTCGCCCTTCCACTGCGGACGTCGTCCTCGCCGCCGTATTAGTACAGTGTTATTCTTATACTTCTTCTTCGCATTCTTACTGGTAATAGTATTGTTAGTATTATGTTTCTTCTCTTCCTCCTCCTCCCCCTCCTCTTCCTCCTCCTCCTGCTCCTCCTCCTCCTCCTCCCCCTTCCTCCTCCTTTCTCCATCCTCTCACCTTGCTCCTCATCTTTTTCCCTGCTCCTCCTCCCCTCGCCCCATTCGTATTCTTTCTTATCTGGCCTCATCATCTCGCCTCCCTCTGTCCTCTCCTCGTGGCGGCCGACGGCGGCTCCGTTGCCGGCCTGCCATGAAGCCACCTCGTGGTGCATCGCCGCCAACATGTGACGACTCGTCGCTCCTGCTGGGGTACGGGGGAGGAGGGAGAGAAGGGCGAGAGGAAGAGGACGAGGGAATGGGACAGGAGGGGGGATGGGGAGGGGGGGATGGGGAGGCGCGGGCAACCTGAGGCCCAACCGAGTCGATATTGGAACGCAGAGGCAATGACAGAAACCACCTTTTTCCGCGTGAAACACAGAAGGGGGGAGAGAGAGGGAGAAAGAGAGAGAGGGAGAGGCTCGAGGAGGGGGAGGAGGATAATGGGGAGTGGGGCGGAACATGGGGGGGGGCAGGACGAGGACCAAAATGAACCAAAATGCGTCAGTGATGCTGCACTGCATCCCCCCCGCCCACAGTCCACCCCTGGTACGTCCCTTCAAAACTGTTGCTTTCGCTAAAAGAAGCGCCCCCCCCATGAAAGACCAGCGCCAGACGTGCCTGCTGCAGCGCGAGGAGGAGGGAGAGAAGGAGGAGGAAAAAGGAAAAGGGGAGGAAGGAGGAGGAAGGAGGAGGGTGAGGAAGAGGAGGAAAAGGAGGAGGAAAACCAGTGTAAACCGACGATGTATCAACGATGTTGCAATTAACCTTCCCTCCGGGTTCCCTGTTTCTAGTTAGTGCATTTCATTGCGGGGAGTGGCCCACTAGAAAACAACCATATGCGAATCCTCAACCGTGCCAAAACACCGTTTCTGCAATGTCAATGCCGCGTATCAACGTGACTGTTGCGTCGTATCAATCCGGAATATACCCACAGCACCACCCCTGGGACTTCATAGCGGCGAATCAGGTATGGACCTCTACGCCCTGACAGTCGGAAATCCCGCCAGGACATACTTCAAGGGAGTGCAACCGTACGAGTTCCTGAAACAGCCGCATGTTGTTTCATCGAACGTGCTCCGCGCTAAGGCGAGAGATCAAGATTTGGAAAAGGAGCCAGCCTGCCTCCATGAAGTCGCCGCAACCTGTTCAGACGAATGCGCGCATCGCGAAGGCGAGGGTCGCACTTTATGATAGGGCCCCCTCCTACATCTTTGAAAGCGTCGCAAACTTTGAAGACGGATTTGCGCGGCGCTTCGGCGAGAGCTGCATATCGAAAACGGCCCGCCCTCCATCCGTGAAACCGTTGCACATCCCAAGCCTTAGGATCACAAGTGGTGAGGGAGTCTCAAGCGAAGCGCCGCGCACACGCTACCGACGCGCCTGAACTTGCGACAGGGAGGAGTTATTTATCACCAGAAGGGGTGGTCGAGGAGGAGGAAGAGGTGGAGGTGGGGGAAGGGGAGGAGGAGGACGAGGACGAAGACGAGGAGGAGGACGAGGAGGAGTAGGACGAGGACGAGGACGAGGACGAGGAGAAGGAGAAGGAGGAGGAGGAGGATGAGGACGACGACGACGAGGACGAGGCGGGGGCCGTCGTCGGCCGCCCTGGGCCAGGAGCCGCAGCCGCAGTGGCAGCGCGAGCAGCGGCGCAGACTTCGAGGCGGCTGGCCGCGGGCTCTGCTCCGCCAGGGCGCGGAGGAGGAGGAGGAGGAGGAGGAGGAGGAGGAGGAGGAGGAGGAGGAGGAAGAAGAGGCGAGGGAGGCGGCGGCGAAGGAAAAGGGGGCGAGGGCGGCGGAAATGGCGGCGGCGAGGGCAGTGGAGGGGGTGGAGGCGAGGGCGGCGGGAGGAGGAGGAGGAGGAGGAGGAGGAGGAGGAGGAGGAAGAAAGCAGGAGGAGGAGGAGGCGGAGGCGGAGGGGGAGGGGGAGGGGAGGGGGGAGGGGGAGGAGGAGTGAGTGAGTGAGTCGATGCCGAGGGCATGAATCCAAGCACAACTGAGACAGGCTGGAGGGGGGGGGGGCGGGGCGGTGCGGCTGGGCGGTCCTGCTGGCCGAAGTTGTCGGCCAGGCCGCGCGCGCCGCGCGCGCCGCTCGCCGCTCGCCGCTCCGACCGACCGACCGCCCACACCCCACAAGTTAAATGATCCCTCTCTTTGCCTTCTCCGCCTTGCCCAAACACTTAGGGGGCTTATGTGTGGCAATTCTATTTAATAGGCTTGCCTGTGTTTCGGAATCTTATTTACACACGGCTTACCTAAGCTGACTATTTGGGATTGGCCATAGTAGCCGCAAGCAATACAGAAGCAAACATTCAAGACAGAGTGATACTGCATTTGATGCGTCTCGTGTGCCCACCCCCCAGCCAGGTGCAGCCGAGCCCCTTCAGGAAGAGACCGAAAAACACCCCCCAGGTTTTGCAACTCATGGCGCGGACTCTGTCGCCACTCCAGAAGTTCGGATTGGCTGGCTGACCCACAACACCGCAGGCACGCATTACCAGAGTCTGAAAAGATGTGTTCTGTACAGAACACAGACACACTAATTGGGCCAGGTGGCGGGGGAGCAGGAGGAGCAACGGGACCTGGCCTGGCTCTTTTCTGCTTGCGCTCCAAGGCTAACATCTCTTTCTCGTTCTCAACAGCGTCAAGAGTCGCTCTGAGCAAACGGTGACGAACCATGAAAGCTTTTCAATCGTGTGCACACGGTGGCGATCGCCCTCCGAGACTCTGTGCTCCTCTGCAGCAATGCTGGCCACCTCGTCAGCGGTGGCGTTGGCAAGGATTAGCCACCCGGAGAAGCGCTTTTCGGCCACAGTTCTGCCGTCCAAGTGAGAATTGACGAAAAGCACGACCACACTGGCTGGGTCGCGTCCATGCTGAAACTCCTGGCCTAGCTTCTCCCAGAAGTCGGAGTCTTCGCCGCCAGGCTGGAGGTATCTTCTATTATACCAGCCCGAAGCGACCCCTTAATTGTCACAGATATAAATGATGTGGCCTGCTGAGGCCTGACATGCTAGGAGCAAACCCGAGAGCCCCCCTCTACCCACGGTTTGTTGGACACCAGGGAGGGGCCATGAATTGTACCAAGCACAGTTACGCCATTGTTACTACAAAGAGAGCTCCAAGGGGCTTCTAACTTTGCAATAGCAGCTCCTACACGTCTAAGTCGGGGGTCGGTTGTGTCCTTTCCCCCGCTAGCACCACCTGCTACTATGATGGGATGTGAGACTGTTCCTACACCTAGGCTACCTTTTTTCACAATCTTGGATGTCGCCGCCGTACTTCCAGGCAAGCTCTCTGGATGGCGGCGGCACTTCAGTCCACTTCTGCGGGATGAGGCCTCTCAGCCAGAAGCACTCCGTGGCTTCGCGTTGGCTATGCGCCTCTGGCAGAAGTGTGTCAGTTAAAGAATACGCTTTGTTATTACTGTTACTGTGTGCAGTCTCTTTTTCTCCGCATCTGGGGCAAGTATCTGGAACTTTGGAAAGGGGGCACAAGCGTGACGTCTGGCTCTCGGCCATGTCCCCCCTGTAGCTATTGCAACCATTAGCTCCGAAAGTCGGTGACCATTGGGTACATCGCGCAGCTGCCGAATCAACTGAACGTAGCTGTGCATGTCCGCTCCATCCTTCAACCCTCCTCCGCGGTAATGTTTGCTTGCTTGCTTCCAATCAATAGATTGCCTATCTTGCTTGAACTCATAAATCAACTCCTTTGCCGTGTTGACAGAACTGAATTGAGAAAACACTTCGGGTGGGAAATTCCATTCGATGATTTCTCCTGTTTCGCTTCGTCGTCGATCCCATGATTCCGCTGTTGTCGGCACCCACCCTGTTTCAAGGAGGTAGGTGATGACAGCATTGATGGGGCCTCTGATATGCCGATGACGTTGACCTTCTTCTAAAACCGAAAGTTCCTCAACTGTTGACTGCCAAACTTCGCGGATAGCTGGCTGCATATGACGGCCCTCGTGGGCCCACATCCGAAATCATATTTGTAGACATTCTGCTGGCATTTTGACTCCAGGGTCCTCGCCCGGGCATTTCAATGCAAGCAAAGCGGTCAGGCATCGGCCTGACGACTGGGAAGCTGACACCGCTCCCAACCTGGTTCTGAACATTTGCAACCGTCGTCCGAGTATTACATGCAATTGATGAGCATAATATCCTGTCGCGTAAGCTCCTTGTTTATATTGTTTTATGCATGGCTCCTGGTTTGCACATCCGTTTGGTTCTAACAGCTCTTCCATGACGTTTACCCCCAGACAGGTCGGCCCCCAAGTAGGCCACCTGACGTTGAGCTTCCAATGGATATCCTGCTTACCGAACCCGTTTGGCAACATATCTTGCGCCTTCCATATGAATACATAGTACCGCATTTTTGCACGCAACTTTGAGCGTTTGCTTTTTCAAATTCTTGCACGTTGCTATTAAAACTTCTGTCAATTGCTTCCTGATCATTGCGCGAGATCCTTTTGTGCTCTGGCTGAGATCGTCGATCCATATTCTATGAGAAAAGTTAGGGTGTGCAGCAGTTATTGTTTGCAGCACAAAGTATATCATCGCCCTCGCAAATCTTGTTCCTCCCCTTAATCCCTGCACCACTGATTGAGTAGGACAGAATGGGAGGGAGAAGGATCCCGCTTGGCGGAGAGTGCGAGGCGCTGCACAGCTGAGCAATTCTAAATAATGGATCTGTGCTGGGAATCCCAGTTTCAAAGCACACCTGATTAACTTACTCCATGTTATTGTGTCGTAGAATCCTCTGATGTCCATTAAACCATTTCCATGTGGTGTATTGAGGAGTCCTGATAGCTCCTCGTCCATAACACGTATAAAGGCTTCGCGCAGGGCCGCGTTGCCTTCCACTGCCGCGTCCCACCCTGGGGAGGTAGAACGCGACCATTCCGTCATTTGTGGGTCCCTTGCTTGGGACCACAAACGGCTGAACATCGACGTGAGTCCTATCACTCGATCTCCATCTCCTCGGTGCTTTGGCGTCATGTGCCCGATGACCAGCTGCGTTTGTACTGGCCAGCATAAGCTCTCTTCTACCGCCGCGTATATATCCGACAACTCCTGCAGACTGGCATCGGGCTGCCTTGCTTGCCACCTCAGTCGGGGATACTATGTCCACTCATTGTCCAATGCTCGCTCTCATGTGTTTGTCGCTCTTCTGATGTCGCCTGGTTCTAACGGCAGCAGTGGCTCCACTTGCGCTGCTGCGCAGGCCTCGCCGAAAGCTATGTCCAAGTCGTCATAGCTGAGGGTCGGTGGGGCCCATATGTCTTTCCATTTTTTACTTTGGCGTCGATCATATCTACTGGTGATGATACATATTCTCCACTTGATGAAATAATTTCCATTGGCGTGAACGGCTGCTCCTTGATGGATCGGCGCAAGCATCCAATCGCCTCTGGTGGTTCAACCCATTTGCGAAACTTCTCCATTGAAGATGCAAGAGCTTTTGCTTGGCTGCGCTTTGCCATCCTCAAGGTAAGACTGCTTAATTTCTTGGCAACTCCATCTGGCTTACTGCTGATGACACGAACTACTCTCACCACACTGTTGAAGGTAGGGTCTGTTCTGGATAGTACGTCTGCTGCTCTCTCTGGTATGTCGTTGACCAGCGTACGGCAGCGCTCCAATAGATGTTCCACTTGTTTAGCTCCGTTCTGACGCTCACGATGCTTGGCTAGCCCTGCTGTGGGCGTGCTCAACTGCGTCCACCAGTTGGCGACCTCGTCCTCGAACGGCTGCACGTTACCGTTGTAGGCACCCTGCTTGCTCGTCGATTTATGAAAACTGGCGCACTCTGCACGTCGTGCGCCGGATGGAACCTGGCAAGACTGATGTGTGCACGCTGTTTCTTCTACGGTGGTGACCCACGCAGCGAAGTGGCCACTTATGTTTTCAAGGTTACTTGAGCCAAAACGGCTACTGACTGAGTTGAGAAAGTGAGCAGGGGGCTGGCATGCACTGGATGGAATGAATCCTACATTCGCACGGCATCTTTGCCACGTCTGCTCAGGGATGTGAAAGCTGGGGCTGTCCTCCTGGGGGTCGGCCTGGCTCGTTAAAGGGGGGGGGAGACCTTCGCAACGCTGCTCCTGGGGGAATGTTTCCTGGGCGATCAGGTCGTGCTCTGGCCATGCATCAAAATCCTCCTCTACTTCAAATTCGAAGGGCTCCTCTCCCTCATCCCCGTCAGGGGCTCTCCCACAGGGCTCTCCTGACAGGACGGGTTCCAGGAGGTCACCAAATAAATCAGGATACACCTCAGCTCTTTTGGCTCGGGTGCTTGCTTGCTTAATTTGCTGCTGCGTTCTGGCCAGAGCTGACTTCGACCCTGTGGTGACTTTTTTACAGGGTCGGGGCTCTTGGGGCAACCTGGCAGGCAAGCTCAGAGCACGCGTTTCCAACAGCGCTCCTGCTGAGCACAGCTATACTGACATTCCTATGTGTGGCTTCCAGGGGGCCGACAACACTGGCGTCGCACTCTTTATCAGGCCTCGGGCTGGCTGGCTGCAAACAAGGTAATCAATGTGAGGCCCTTTTTTCACCCGACGAACCAGTGATCTCCACTGGTGCTTGCGCAACCTGGCCTCCCACAGCATCGAGGAAACCTGACTTAGACAAAACTGACGCTGACATGTTATAATCTC